TAGACAGCATATTAAAAAGCAGAGACATTACTTTGTCAACAAAGGTCTGTCTAGTCAAGGCTATGGTTTTTCCAGTAGTCATGTATGGGTGTGAGAGTTGGACTCTAAAGAAAGCTTAGCACTGGAGAATTGATGCTTTTGAACTGTGGTGTTGGAGAAAACTCTTGAGAGTCCCTTGGATTGCAAGGAGATCCAACCAGTCTATCCTAAAGGAGCTTGGTCCTGGGTGTTCATTGGAAGGACTGATGTTGAAGCTGAAACACCAATACTTTGGCCACCTGATGCAAAGAGTTGACTCGGAAAAGACCTGGATGCTGGGAGGGATTGGGGGCAGGAGGAGAAGGGGACGACAGAGGATGAGATGGCTGCATGGCATCACTGACTTGATGGACATGAGTTTGGGTAAACTCCGGGAGTTGGTGATGGACAGGGAGGCCTGGCATGCTGTGATTCATGGGATCACAAAGAGTCGGACACGACTGAGCAACTGAACTGAACTGAACTGAATGCTCACAACATCCCTATTAGGAGGAGGTAGTTATTATTGTCTCCATTTTACAGATAAAAAACCAAGGCACAGAGAGTTTAGGTAATTTGCCCAAGATCATACTAGTAAGTGCCAGGCCTGGAATATGAATCCAGCTCTCTGGATTCCTTAGTCTATGCTCAAGAGACAACATGTGAAAAATACTAGACTGGATACAATGTCAGTACTGAACAAACATTTCTGTCTTTGTTCACCATCCCTCCTCCAGAAGTGTGCCTTTTCTATCAATAACATCTCAGTCCTGTGGTTTGGCAGAATCCAGCCTTGGACTTGTTTCTCCACAGTCTTTGTGTCTGAACCTTGCATCCCTCCCTGCCAGAAGCCCTAGTAATCCCTGTTCTCCCAGGGACCTGGAAAACCCACTTCCCATGTACCTTGGCTGGGAATTGACTTTCCACTGTCGAGGCTCATTTTCCCCGGGAGCCCCCGCATCCCATTTGGCACCTCTGGCACCGAGGTGTTGCATGTGCTGCCATCTGGTGGGCATAGATGACACTGACACCACTCTGATGAATGACTCGCCATTGATGCAGATAGGTCTGCTCCTCTTTAGTCCTCAGGTCAGGATACCTTTCTCAGAAGGCAACCAACTGGTAATTAAGATCCATTAATGACTGGTTTTTCCAACCCTGGTATCAAAAGCATTCTGATGTAGGCTTAGTACTGGGGGGACGGCAGAGTGGCTCCAATCCGTTGGCCACCTGATTTGAAGAGCTGACTCACTGGAAAAGACCTTGATGCTGGGAAAGACTGAAGGCAGGAGGAGAAGGGGATGACAGAGGATGAGAAGGTTGGTTGGCATCACATCACTGACTCAAAGGACATGAGTTTGAGTAAGCTCTGGGAGTTGGTGACAGACAGGGAAGCAGGGAGTCCTCAGTCCATGGGGTTGCAAAGAGCTGTACACAACAGAGTGACTGAACAACGACAAGATTGGCTGTACTCATGGGTAAGAAGTCCTACTTGCTGAGCTGTGCTGTGCTCAGTCGCTCCATCATGTTCAACTCTGTGATCCCATGGACTGTAGTTCACCAGGCTTCTCTGTCCATGGAATTTCTAGGCAAGAGTACTGGAATGGGTTGTACTTGCCCCCTACTCAATCACATAAAGAAGGAAGCTGCCTACCCAATATAAAAGATGGGTAAGATCCAAAGACCCTATCAAGGATCTCTAGCCCCTCGCATAGATTCTTCAAGATATTCTTTCCTCTTGTAGCAGTAGGAGACCTTAGGTTCAAATAATAGGTATAAATTTACAGAAATATATTGTACTTGAGTCTCTGCTAAGCCTGCTCACACCCATTGTCTGAATAACTTCACAGGGATCCATTTTTAGCAGCTTTCCAGTTTCAGAAAAGAGGCCCATTATTGAGACTACGAGACAGGTTATATACACATATCTGTAGTAAACTGGGCAGGGTCTGGGGCAACTGGTCATTCAGACAAAACCTCAGGGGCTCAATAATTACTTGTTGGATTGAATGAGGGTCAAAGAAACGAATCTCTACCCAGGCATTGTTTACAGGAGGGCTTCCATAGAGGCTAACTCTTTTCTGTCCTTGTGACTCTGAAATCTTTCTGGGTTAAATCTTTGTATTCCCTTCCAGTTTGCTTGTTTAAAACCAAAGACTTAGGGATCTTTAGTGGGAATTAGAGGGTCCCAGAAGCCAGCCATTCATTTGAACATCCTTTTGACCTATGTGCCCTACTGATGGTGAAGACAGACATTATGAATAGAAAGTCAATGTGCTGGAGCTCAGCTCAGAAAGTTAAGCAACTTGCTGCCTATAGTTCTGGTTCCTGTTAACTTCCATTAGGGGAGAGAGAACTGATACTGGTTGGTGGATAAACTATTGCTGAATAGCAAATGGGGTTCATGGAATTCTAGTAGAGTTCACCATATCCTGGAAGGAAATCTCACATGATCCTGAGCACCCACTATATATCCTGCACTAATGAAACATCCTGCCTGGTACATTCTCTCATTTCATCATCACAACCAGTTCTCCAGCAAGTATTGTTTATATTTGATGTAAGGGGAAACTGAGTCCCTTTGGGGTTTTGAAGCTCGTCCAAACTCTTGTAACTAATAAGTGGTGGATCTGGGATGAGAGTCATGGAGTCTGGCTTCACCTACAGTGAATATTCTTTGAACTGGTCAACTAGAGCTTGTGACCTTTTAGAGAGAAGAGACTGATCCTCATTCTTCTTTTACTGCATTCCGTTCTTCCACATTACAAATAGATGATAGGGCCAGCTGGACCAAAATATAAAGTCACACAATCCATTCTGTTTTCTATTTGAACCCTTATTTTTAAATTTGGGGTTTTTCCCCATTAAGAATGTGAAAAATGAGTGTTGCTTCTGTCTGTCTAGCCTTATGGTGGTTTAGGAAGATCCTGGGAAGAGCTGAATTTCCAAGTCCCCTCCTGGGAGAGACTATGAAATTAGTAAGGAGTAATTAGACCTTTACCATTAGCTGTATTCAAAGCCACTGCTTATGAATTCATCCAACTAGAAGGAAGTCCAGAACCTCTGTTTGTGATCTGATTATACTTCTAGAGGGAAAGAAAGAGAGACGGGTTTTATTCCCTCATGGATGCAGATTTCTGTACCTAGATTTTTTTCCAGAAATAGTCTGTACTCTTTTGTTCTCATTCGTATGGGCTCACACATAGTACTCTCCTCTACTCTCTATCCAACCTACATGTATTGTTCTCTTTCCCAGTTATGGGTTGAGAGAAATCTTCCAAGATCTCTAGTTTGTGTCTGTTTCCATAGTATCTTTTGGGAGTTCTGTATGCAAAGCTTTGGTTTAACGGGCTTCCAGGCTGATGGCCATCAAACGCTCCTTCATTGGTTTTGTGTCCACCCTCTTTTGCTGGGCCAGGTCCAGAAAACATCACTTGAGGAAGCTGCCTTGGGTACCAGGATCACAGCTGGTTGGGGTGCTGGCACACCAAGGGACACTCTTCAGGACAGGAAAATGCATCCCAGAGACAGAGGATAGAAATCCGTGATTTGAAGAATCTTTGTTTGAAGGAATTTTATTCAGGTTTTGGGAAGTGAGTGTTCAGCAGAAAGGGATAATATGAATAAGCATTTGCTCTAATAACAAAATAGTGTCAGTCACTGGAGTCCAGCCTTGCCCCCTCTGCTGTGAGGCACAGTTCTGTCCTCCCTAACATCAATCACAAACAGCATGTACAGAGACCGAGAGCTCACAGACAGCTTAATCCCCCCAGGGATATTTCTGTGCAGGATCTCCACAGGCATTGGGTGAGTGACAACTGGGGCTACAACACACAGCTTGTCCGGGAACTGCACAGACTTGAGATATATATATATATATATATAGCTAGGGGCGTTAAAAACCTTTAAGGTGGTTGGTTGTGGAGATGATACAGAACCTTGTAAGAGATTCCTAAAAGGGTTGACTCCTTTGACAGTTGTGGGGTCTGGAGACATTCAGGAAGCCTGCTGACAGGGTGAAGTCAAGGAAGAAGTGGACGCCCACGGGGCCTGACTGAGGGCGAGACAGGACAGGCCATCCGGCCCACGCTTCCCTGGCCTCCCTGAGTCCTGGCAACCATAAAAAGGGTTGAGAGCCGGCAGGTGGGATCCACGCGAGAAGCCCAGCGGTCGAGTGGTGGGGCGCTGAGCCGAGCTCCCTCCGGAAGCCTGGAGGTTTCTGCGCGAGAGCGAGTGGAAAACCCCTAGAGGTGGAATCTGCCGGCCTAGGACTGGGACTGGTGGCGCGCCCTCTCGGGGAGCCTCGGGTCTGGGGCAGCCAGCGCGGGCGCGGGTGGAGGCTCTGGAGCGTCCCTGGAGGGCGGGGGCCAGGGGCAGCCAGCAGGTGGGGCCCCGGGCCGGACTCCGCCCCCCGCACCCTCCCCGTTGGTCCGCTACCGCCCAGCCCCGGCCCCTCTTCCGAGCCCGAGCGCGATTGGTGGCGGCGCTTGTCGCTCGGAGGGGGCCGGGCCGCTGGGCTCCGCGGTTCTCCCTGCCGCCGCTGCCGCTGCCGCTGCCGCCGCCGCCGCCGTCCTTCCAGCAGCGCGGGCGGGTCGGACCGCCAAGGCAATCGGCGCCCGGCGATGGGAAGCGGCGCGGCCGCGGATCCAGGCTGTGGCAAAGTTTCCCAGACGCTCGTATCAAGGCGCGCGGCTGCCGACCACCCGTGACTGCTCCGAGAAGGGCTCGGAGATTTTTAATTTGGAAAAATAATCCACCTCATTTCCTTTGTCACGCTCTCTCTCAAAGCGGCCAGCGGCGGGAGCTACAAACTTGGGCACGGCGGCTCCACTGCCGGCGGTCCGGGCTTTGGAGACCGTCGGCACTCAGGTGCTTCGGCGCCCGGCGGCCCCGGGCGTCCGAGGGGGTGTGATCGCGGGGGAGTCCCGGGTGCGCAGAGAGAAGGGGCCCCCGGGAGCTCTATATGGAGGAGGGAGCCCAGAATGGTGTGCACCAGGAAGACCAAAACTTTGGTGTCCACTTGCGTGATCCTGAGTGGCATGACCAACATCATATGTCTGCTCTACGTGGGCTGGGTCACCAACTACATCGCCAGCGTGTATGTGCGGGGGCAGGAGCCGGCGCCCGACAAGAAGCTGGAGGAAGACAAAGGGGACACCCTGAAGATTATTGAACGGCTGGATCACCTGGAGAATGTCATAAAGCAGCATATCCAAGGTACGAGCGCCCGGGGAAACTTGGGCAGCCCACGGGGCCGGGGAGTGCCCAGAGCCGTGCGCGGTGAGCGGAGGTTGGTGGGCATCTCTATAGCGACTGCGGGACTCTGAGGCTGCAGACGCTTGGCGGGGCTGCGTGTATGTTCTTGCCTGAGTACGGGACCCTCAGTGTCGGCGGCCGTGCGCGCTTCTCCAGGGCACACGTGTGTGCACGGGGCTCCACGCGCGGGTGTGTGCAGCTCGCTGGCGGTGTGGGGGCGCGCTGCGCACGTGTCCCAGTGTGCGTGTGACTACCGGCTAGTTGCTCGAGGGCTCTCGGGGTCGCACACAGGTCCGGTTCAGAGTGTGGGTACGTGTGAATGTTGGTGTGTGTACAAGGGAGCGCTCAAAGGCAATCGAGCTCATTTGGCTACTGTAGGGCCTACGGGGAGAAACGTGAGAGGCCCAGGTCGTTGCTGTTTAGGACCTACAGGCTGCGGGACAAGCCGGAGCTGAGAAGACTGCACGGCCCTGGTCCCAGCCCGGCTGTGGGGCGGCCCATAGGCGATTGGGTGTGCAGAGGGATCTGTGGCTAGGAGTGCTGTCTAAACCTTAGCGGTCTCCACCCGCACCACATAGCGCGGGTCCAAGACCCTCTCCAACAGCAGGTGTTAGCTCGGTGAAGAAGCATGGGCGCCTGGAGCTTTGTCCACTGCGGTGGCTCCTCCGCCCAGGACTGGGAGAATCCGCCCTGGGCTGCCAGTGAAGGCCATTCCCTCCGGTAGCTCCACTCCCAGGCCCGGGGAGCGGCTGGGGCGAAGCAAACAGATCCGCGCGGGCTCGGTCTGGAGTCTTAGGCTGAGCCGGGTGATTGCGTTCCAGGTCAGGGCTGGGGTCAAGGGGACGATGGGGTACGGAGCGCTCTGCCCAGGCGACCCTGTCCGATGAGCTGTCGGAGGCAGCAGATAGAGAGCTCCGGCTGGGCACCACAGGTCAGAGTGTGCGCACACATGTCGGGCTCTCACGTTCACATTTTTTTCTTTGCTGCTACTCCCTCTGTTTTCTACCAGGCTTGTCAGCTTTTTAAGGGCAGGACCGCGCCAGCAGAGCCTAGTTCACCTGTCAACCAGGCAGACTTCGGCACGTATCTGGTTGACTATTTCTCTCCCAGGAGCACTCTCATTTGTTTACACATGGTTGTCAGGATCCAACCTTGCATCTGCTGCCCCTTCCATGGTGGGGACAGCTGCTCTGTCTACATTTGGTTTGTATCCCCATATGTACAAAAGTTCCTTCCCAGGGGGAGGTTCAGGTGAGTGCAGGAGAGGTATACATATCCACAGTGCTTCCTGACTGACTGATGATTTTAAAACAAGTTCATGGCTCTGATGCTTCTGCTTCGCAGCTCTCCTTGGTACCTGCCACTGGGCTTGCGTGGCAGACCGATTTATCTCTCTGATGTGCCTGTTGCTGTGTTTCTGACTTGTCCTTTTCCAGTGGGTCCAGATTGACAATTAGTCACCAGTAGAAGCACAGTGTTTGCCTCAGGGTGATTCATAGTGTTCTCAGAGGGATGCAGGCCATACCTTACTTTAAGATTTCTAGTTTGCCCACAAATTTTAAGAGATTTTCATTCACAGATTCTGTGTGTGTGTGTGGGTGTGGGTGTGTGTTCATGTTTCTGGAACATGATCCTTTTGTGCTTTCCAGTCTGGTCAGGGAGGAGGTGAGCAAGATACTACATTGGGAAGCAGTGAGGAGATCTTGGGGTCATGGGCTCATCCCAGAGTGCACCTTTGTCATGTTGAATGTGGACTGTATCAGGTGATTTATAAGACTTTACATGAAAATGAGTGCAGTGTGGAAGCTGAAAGGAGACTTTGTGTTTTTGCTCCCAGGAAACCTTATAGCTATGCCTTGTTTGAAACTTTCAAAGGTATACCTGAAAAAATTGAGAGGGGAAGAAAAAAAGAGGGAGCATTATCCTTAAAACACATGGTGGTCCAGCTCTCTTGTGTATGTGCAATGACTGTATTATGAGTCCTGTGGATATTCAGAAAAGGCCAGATTCTCAGGTGGAAGGGTAGAAGCCATCGCTCATAGTGGGGTGGGGAAGGGCCAGTGACTTAGCGAAGACTCGCTGTGAGGCAGAGGGAGGCACAGGATGCTTGGCTGCTGTGCCATGATGGTCTTGCCACAATTAGTGACAACACCCCCAGAGATGCCGGAGCCATCCTTGAGCAAGTGTTTGGGGGCATTTAAAGTAAATTTGGGCTTCCCTGGTGGCCCAGCTGGTAAAGAATCTGCCTCCAATGCAGGAGACCCAGGTTCAGTCCCTGGGTTGGAGAGATCCCCTGAAGGGAATGGCTACCCACTCCAATATTCTTGCCTGGAGAAGTCCATGGACAGAGGAGCCGGTGGGCTACAGTAAATTTAGGGATTTATCTTGCTTATGTAAGGGGCCTACAGTGTTTGGGACTGGCCAAGTGCCACTTTCTGAAGGCAGAGGGTGGGAAAGGAAAAAATCAGAGGCTTGTCCTTGATGATATGGGCCATTTACATGTATTCCAATGTCGAGTTTCCTCTAGTTAGTAGGGAAGGCCTTTTGAGCAAACCAGTTTACTCTGTTGAGCTGAGGGGGAATAGGGATAATAATAATAGTTAGTAGCTAAAAAATTATATAGCACCAGCTGTGTGCCAGGCAGTATTTAAGTACTTTACGTATGTTGACTGATTTAATTCTCCTCCCGCTATGAGGTAAGTACGTAAGCTCCATTTTACACATGGAGATTATATAATTTGTCTAAGGTGCAAGGATTTAAACCAAGCTCATGTTGCTTCAGGACCCGTGTTCTTCACTGCATGCTAGGCTGTCTCTTAAGAGGGCCAGAGGGTCACAGGGGCAGCAGGGCTCTCCTAGAGTCACTGGATGGTGGGAGTGGGTATCGGAGTTGGAGACCTGAGAGGGTGGCCGAGGGATGATGGAGTCATAGCCTTTCCACTTGGAGACTCTTCCGTAGTTAAACTCAGGAAGCTCTGGGTTTTGTTTCACACCAAAAGGCAGAGGTTACATTCACATAAGACGTGTTTGTGGAACACCCAGGACAGTTTCTGGCACATTCTTCAGAGAGTGTGTGTTGGATGGCCAAGTAGATGAATGAATGAGCACACAGTGCGGGTGCCCAGGGCTGGTTAGTCATTAATGAAAGCATTTCCATTCTCAAATGACTAGGTTTTGCTTTGGAGCCTTGCACATGTTCCTCTTTGCTTTGGAAGGAAAGTTGTCCTGGAAGCTGCAAATGTCACAAAATGTTCTACTGTATGTTCCATAGGACTTGCAATTAGAAGAGGCTTTGGAGCGTCACCCTGGAGCTACATTCTAGTCATGACCGAAAGGTTTATTTTCCTCTTGGGGGTTGCAGTGATATTTCATTTTAATTTGTTTTCTGATTGAATGATTTAATTAGATGGTGTTTGGGAATCTCTTGGGAATGTAAATTGCAGTTTTGATAATTATTTTTTAACCAGATAGATGGTAAATGAGAGGGTGGATAACTCCGGATTTTAAAAATAGCATCCTGATGGATTGGAAACTCAAAACAAATGTTAGGACAGGTTTGGTCTTGGAGGAGAAAGATGGAATTGCTGGAGGTGGTGCGGTGGGTTAAGTAGAGAGTGTGAATGAGGCTGGAGTGTTGGAGAGCTTAGGAAATGGAAATGTGGGTTCACTTCTTACTGTGGAAGTCGAGTAGACCCAGACAGCTTCTCTTTTTTCTTGGTTAGTATCTTTTTTGAATCTAAAAAAGAATGAGCCAACATTAAATAAAATATTTTAAAATGTATAAAATTCCTCTAATTCATTCTAATCTAACGCAACTATTTTGTATTTTGACAATGCCTTCTAGCTTTGTCCATCTGGCTCCATATTTAAAAATGCAGGTGTAGTCATGGTTTACATGTAACTTTATATTCTGCTTTCCTCAGTTTGCTTTTTGTTAGAAGCATTTTTCAATATTTGCTACATAGTTAATTGATTTTGTTGTTGTTGTTTAGCCGCCCAGTCATGTCAGACTCTTTGCGACCCCATGGACTGCAGCAAGCCAGGCCTCTCTGTCCCTCACCATCTCCTGAAGTTTGCCCAAGTTCGTGTCCATTGCATCGGTGATTCCGTCCAGCTATTCCATCCTCTGATGCCCTCTTCTTCTTCTGCCCTCAATCTTTCCCAGCATCAGGGACTTTTCCAATGAGTCAGCTGACCAAAATACTGTAGTTTCAACTTCAGCATCAGTCCTTCCAACGAATATTCAGGGTTGATTTCTTTTATTGATTTAGCCCTTACTTATTGGAGACCTGGTATGTGCCAGGCACCACTGAGTTGTGACTTTGGATACAGTGGCCAATCCAGACCCTCCTGGTCCCTGTTGTAGTGAATGCATTTTTGAAGGACGATAATATACCTCGTCTTCAACACAGTTTGGGTTTGAGTTAGCCAGTTTATTGAAAACCTGATTAAAGAAGAAACTAAAACAAAATAGCACATACATGCATTAAATATTTTGTTTTACTGTGCATTTATTTCTCAGCTTCTTGATGGAAGGCCAAGGCTTTATCTTTGGTTTGGATCTGTTAAAGAAAACAGAACTAGAAATCTGACTTTGTAAACAGCTTCTTCATTGAATACGCCACCACCATAAAGTGCTGTTTACAAAGTCTGATTTCTAGTTCTGTTTTCTTTAACATCCATTGAGAACTTGAAGGTACTTATGAAGCAGTATAGTGGCCCACATTTTTATTACTTTAGTCTTTTGCAGTGACTTTGTTCATGAGTAATTTGACTGCTATTTATGTGATTAGTTGAAGTTTTTCCAAAGCTTTAAATTAATTTTCTTAGAAATAACTCTAATTTTTTTTTAGCAATGATCTTCCATTGGTTATATACTATGTAATTAAGTTACATTGTTACAATGACAAGTACCAAGATTCTAAACACATTTGGAAACAAACCCAGGGTACTCTTGGTTG